ACCCTGTGTGCAACTGGGCACCCTCCAGTGAAACTGGGGCACCCTGTATGCAACTGGACTCCCTCTAGTGCCATATGGGCCACGTTGTATCTGGGACTTGGTCCATGGAGCGGAGAGAAGTGAATCCAGAACTCGGTCCGATTCTTCCGCCTCTGAGTGAGATCTCAGTGAGATTGACCGCACCGGAAGCGTGCGATGATTTGTTTCTGTAATTTTTAAAACTCACATTCTCCCAAAGAATTGCTTTGAAATATAAAACAAAAAAGGGTAACACGAACAAAAAAGTTACAAACGCGCGTACTTTTTTGTCGTTGTTTCATTTGGGGAGCTCAAAGCCACAAGGAGCGAAATAATTTCAGGGGTTTGCCGCCGCTTTTGATCGCTGGGCAGCGAGACTGGGGAGAGAATTTCATTTTTAAACTCCAGCAGCAGACACGAACTCGAGGAGAGACAGCAAGTCAGGGCATAGTCTGCAGATCGAACTCTCCCTCAGAGGGCAAGTATCCAGGGAAACACAAAACATGCCTTAGAACCAAACAGATGTGTGTCCAAAAAGTAACAGCTGGCCCCAGAGTACCTTCTCAGAGAAAAATGTCATTAAAACCGCTTCAATAATAGTCCACATCCTTGTTTTAAGCGTGAGTTGATATTAAGAGAGTTGAGCACAGCCTATACCACCTTCAGATCTACAGCTGCAGAAAATCATTGTCCACAAGATTTACTTTAGATTTACTGCAGGGGGTCCTGGTCAAAGTCAAACCTCCAAAGTTAAGAAAGACCTTAAACTATTTTTGGGTAGGCGTTACCTCTTATCCTTCCCGATACGACTATGCCATTAAAAATAAACAAAAATGGTTATCTCGTTAAATAGTTGGGAGATTTCCTTACCTTTGAGAGACGGGAAGCATTAATGCAAGAATCGGTTGTTTTATTCTTATAAAATCTTCCTCGCACCAGAGGTGACAGCTCACTCACTTTCCCTGAGATTGGGACTGCGAGACCTGCTCAATCTTATGCTATCTCCTTTTCACTCCACAAGCGCGAAATACTCACACAAAACTCAATACCCAACCCCCTGCTCCCCTGGTACACCCCCACCCAGTCCAGCCAATGAAAGACTCGAGAAACACACCCCAAAAAAAGCTGATTGACAGCGTCCTCCGAGAGGAAAACGGAGAAAAAGGTGAATGAGGGTGAAAACCAGGACATAGCCTCAGGTTTACAAGGAGTAATAACACACTGAGACAGTGAATGAGTCTGGCCACAAACACCAGCCACAAAACACATTCAGGTATGCTGTATCTCATCTGCTCTGATCCAATATATTAAAACAGGAGAATGGTTGGGACCACTAGTAGAAATATAATGCTAAAACTAGTTCTTTTGACAACTTCAAAAGTAATTCTGACATTCTTTGACCCAGCACCAAAAGACATTTATGTTCCTCACTTAGCACCAATTGCATGTAGATGTTGATAATTCTTGAAGAAATATGAATTTCCCAGTGACCTACACCATGAATTACACAAGATTCTACTTTAAGACTTTTACTGTAACAAACCAAAATCAAAAGTGACTAAACAAAATTGAGTGGGTAACTAGTACACCAAACTACTGAAAAGATACCCACAATTTACCAATTACCACAACTGAAAACCCCTGCCACATTTATATATACACTGCAGATATGTAGCCTTCTAATAAAGTCCCACATTTCTCCCAGCAATTCAGCAGGATTTCTTCTCCTGCTCCACCAAGAGGAACGTTATGATGTATTTTTATAGATGTCTTCACTCAGTCTTTAATGTATATTCAAGCTGATTTCTAGCACTAAGGCACCCTGTGGAGATTCCTAGATGTTTAAATCAACAAAAGTCCCACCTCATCAAACATGAAATTGGTTGTCACCAGCTTTCTGCCCAGAGCTAGTGGTAAACAGTAAATGTTTTTTACTGCTGCTGGACACTACCAACTTTTGATCTCCCTTTTCTGGTCTCTCTGATTGACTGATACTGAGTTTGTAGCCAGCAAGACAGTGACTGGTCTTTTGTGTCGAGATGTGAAAAGGAGACTTGTGTTTCTGGGAGTTTCAACCTGTCCCAGTGGCAACTGAATCACATGAGCCTGCCCGAAGACAGGGTCCAGTAGTATTTACAACCTCATCCTAGGACCTTCTGTCTTATCCTAAATTAAAAGAGGCAGTTTAAAAATAACCATCCTATGAGGACTTGCATTTGTAACAATAGTACCTTCGAACTAGTAAACCATCTCCCTGTGTTTTACAGGAACACTATCAAACAATTTTCATAAAGAGACAGGTAGCCAAACAACTAGTCAAAGAAGAAACATTGAAGAAGTTTCTGAAATAAGGATAAGGGTAGAGAGGTTTACAGAGGGAATTCCATAAATTCGGCACAGGCAGCTTAATGCGTAGCCACCAATAATGAAATAGTGAAAATCAAGAATGTTCAAGAGGCCAGAATGGAGGAGGACAGACATCTTGGAACATAGGGTGGAGACATGGCCATGAACAGACTTTTAAACAAAGATGAAAATTTTAAATTTGAGGCTTTGGAGTACACGGAGCCAATGTAAGTCTATAGGCAATACTTTGGAAAAACATTTGCAACATTATTATGATCTATATTTCAGAATTACCAAATCACAACTGAGCCATCCAGATGAAAATAGTCTAAAAATAAAGAATCCCCAATCTCTTCCAAATCAAACCATGATGGACTGTTCATTTCTTAATCCTACCCAACCTACCTTTTCTCAAATGGGCACTTCAAAATAAAGGAGTATTTTCAGTTTGATAACAGATGAACTTTAATGGAAATACCAATTGTTGGGATTCATAATGAGATTATGTCGATGATCAGTCTGTCATTGGGCATATTCCTAGAACAATCCAACACAGAGGGAACCCATTCAGCCAGTTGTGACTGTGTTGGTTCTTTGAAAGAATTAACCAATCACTTTCACTCCCTGCTCTGTCACCAAAGACCTAAAAATATTTACCTTTTCAAGTATTTATCCAATTTGTCTTTTGAACTCACAACAACTTGCTGCCTCAAAAAAAAATCACTGCTTCTCCCTGTTGGTGTTTCTGCAAATGACCTTAAACCTATCTCCTCCAGTTATTGACCCTACTGCAATTGAAAATCACTTGTTCTTTTTCCTCTTTTGAAACCTTACGTAAATCTGGAGGATAAAATCCTTGAAAGGTTGAAACTGAGAGTGCAGAAGCATAACACCACATGGTGACAGTTTGTATAGTAGCATATGTATCAGGTGATGCAAAATGACCTCCTGGGCAAGAACTGTGCCAGATCAATTCTTGGATTAAGTTGCTCCCATATATTCCAGGACCTAAATCCCAAAAATGTCATATTTAGTTTGGTCACATAGAAACACATAAAATAATAGCAGGATAATAGCCTGCTCTGCTATTCAATATGTTCATGGCTGATCGTCCAACTCAGTATTCTCTTCCCACTTTCTCCCCATATCCTTTGATCCCTTTACCCCTAAGAACTATATCTAACTCCATGTTCAAAACATTCAATGTTTTGACCTCAACTGCTTTCAGTGGCGGGAAATTCCACAGTCCTAAATGACCTATTCTATATCCTTAGTTCTGGACTCCCTGGTCATTAGGAACAGCATTCCCGTGTTTACCATGTCTAGTCTTGTTAGAATTTTATAGGTTTCTATGAAATTCACCCCCCTCCAACCTAGTCCCCCCCCACCCCACCACATTCCCCATTCTTCTGAACTCCAGTGAAAATAGTCCAAACGGATCAAGTCTCTTTTCAAATGTCAATCCTGCATTCTCAGGAATTAATCTGGTAAACCTTTATTGTGCTCCCTCCATAGCCAGAACATCCTTCCTCAGATAAAGAGATCAAAACTGCACACAATACTCCAGGTGTGGTCTCACCAAGGCCCTGTACAATTGCAACAAAACATCCCTACTCCTGCACTTGAATCCTCTCTCTGTGAAGGCTAACATATCGTTTGCCCTCTTCACCACATGCTGCACCTGCATGCTTCCAGTGACTGGTGTATGAGAGCACCCAGATCTCATTGCACCTCTCCCATTTCCAATCTATCACATTCAGATAATAATCTACCTTCCTGTTTTGCTACCAAAATGGATAACCTCACATTATCCACATTATGCTACATCTGCCCACTCATTCAACTTGTCCAAATCTCACTGAAGCATCTCTGTAGCCTCCGTGCAGATCACCCTCACATCCAGCTTTGAGTTGTCTGCAAATTTAGAGATATTACATTTAGTTCCTTCATCTAAATCATTAAAATATATTGTTAATAGCTGGAGACCAAGCACGGATCTCTCAGGTTCCTGACTAGTCACTGGCTGTTACTCAGAAAAAGACCCATTTATTTATGCTCTTTTGTTTTCTGTCTGCCAACCAATTCTCTGTCCATGTCAGTACACTACCTCCAATCTCACAGTCTTTAATTTCTCTTCCCTGGGACCTTATTGAAAGCCTTCTGAAAATCCGAGTAAACCACATCCACTGCCTCTTCCTTATCAACTGTACAAGTTACATCTTCATAAACTCCAATAGATTTGTCAAACATGATATCCCTTTCATAAATTCATGCTGATTCTGCCCAATCCTGTCACTGTTTTCCAAATGCTTTGCTATTGCATCTTTTATAATGGACTCTAGCATTTTTCCCACTATTAATGTGAGGCTAACTGGTCTATAATTCCCTGTTTTCCCTTAACCTCCTCTTATTTTAAAATACTGAAGCTACAAAACAGACTGCTTGATTGGCATCTCATCCACTCCCTCCATCACCAACGCCCAGTAACAGCAGTGTGTACAATCTATGAGCTGCACTGCAGAAATTCGTCCAAGATCCTTAGACAGCACCTTCCAAACTCCCAACCTCTTCCATCTAGAAGGAAAAGAGCTGCAGATACATGAGAACACCACCATCTGCAAGTTTCCCTCCAAGGCACTCACTGTCCTGGCTTGGAAATATGTCACTTAAGTGTTGCCAGCATTTCCTTCCCTAAAGAATTGTGAGTCTACCTACAGCACATCGACTGTAGCGGTTCAAGAAGGCAGCTCACCATCACCTCCTCAAAAGCAACTAAGGACAGGCAATAAATGTTGTCCCAGCCAGCAACATCCACAACCCACAAGAGAATTTAAAAAAGTAGTGTTTCCCAATTTATCGTAGCCAGCTTATGTCTTATACCATTGTAGTTTCCTTTATTTAAATTCAGGATCCTTGTCTCCATGCTTTCAGAGCCTTTGAGTTACATTTAACGATTACTCCATTGTAACTGGTGCTGAGAAATTTATGCTTCTATTACCAGGGAAGTTGATCGAACCCATCTGAAATCTGTTCTAACATTCATAGAAAGGGCCTATCGTATTGTTGGATAGTATCTAGATGTAATCCTAATTTTATTATCAGAGGAGACACTGGGGCATGATGTGTTCACATACGTACAGCTGTAATACAAGATTTCTCTGGTTTGAGGGACTGAACTTTCCCAGTCCACTATAGCAGGTTTGGAGAAGAGTGTTGGGGATCCAGAAAATAGGGGGTTCATCAATTCAGATATCTCCATTTCTGCTCCTGTGAAACATTCCTATGGGTGGGCTGGGAAATGGATCAGATTAATTTTCTTTGTTCTTGGAACGTGAATACCACTGAACATCATTGTCCATTTCTCATTGCTCTACGGAAGGTGGTGGTGAGCTGACTTCTTGAACTGCTGCAGTCTATCTGATGCATTTTTCTGCAGTGCTTTGTTGAGCCTTTCCAGAGGGAAGTTAAAAGTTAACCACATTGTTGTAGATCTGAATTCCTATTTAAGACCGTAATTTATAAGAGCTAAAGTAAGCCATTCAGCCCATCGAGTCTGCTCCACCATTCAATAACATCATGGATGATCTAATATTGCTCCACTATCCCGTCTTTTCCCCAAAACCCTGAATTCCCTGACTGATTAAAAATATGTCTATCTCAG